GAGCTGGCCTGGTGGTGGTTGGGATGAGAGAGGGGAAGGCAGTGAGGGGAGGGATAGGGGAGAGATGGGTAAGGGGAGGGGTAGGGGAGAGATAGGTAAGGGGAGGGATAGGGGGGAGATAGGTAAGGGGAGGGATAGGTCAGTGGGAGAGAACAGGGGTCAGCTGCCATGCGGCGAGGATGAAGTCCCGGTCGTTGAGGGCAGGGGAGTGCTGGCCTGGTGGTGGTTGGCATAAGAGAGGGGAAGGGGGTGAGGGGAGGGATAGGGGAGGGATAGGGGAGAGATAGGTAAGATTGAGAGAACAGGGGCAGTCGCCATGCCGCAGAGGATGTAGTCCCGGTCGTGAAGGGCACGGGTGAGCTGGTCTGAGAGGGGCGATGGAAGGGAATATTGGCAAGACATGTTGTGGGCTAAGATAGGGGGATAAGGCAGAGGTGAACGGGCGGGGGGGAAGGGGGACCGGGGGGGGGGATGAGGGGCATGTTGTCAAGGAGCCGTGTTAGGTTGGGTTGGGGGCCAGGGGTTGGGTGGGGGGGGGAATGCGGGGCAAGCTGCCAAGGAGTCCTGTGCAAGAGCTGACTTTTGAGTCGACTCAAAAGTCAAGGGGGATGCGGGGCATTTTGTTAAGAAGTCCTGTGCAAGAGGAGGATGAACTCCCGATTGTGAAGAGCATTCCTGCTACAGCACTCCTCATTCCTGCTACAGCGCCCCTCATACCTGCTACAGCACCCCTCATTCCTGCTATAGCACCCCTCATTCCTGCTACAGCACCCCTCATTCCTGCTACAGCACCCCTCATTCCTGCTACAGCACCCCTCATTCCTGCTACAGCGCCCCTCATTCCTGCTACAGCGCCCCTCATTCCTGCTACAGCAACCCCTCTTACCTGCTACAGCAGCATCCCTCATTCCTGCTACAGCACCGCTCATACCTGAAACAGCGCCCTTCCTTTCGCTCATCTTCTTTTGGCAGTTGATCTCCCACTTGTGCCACCTGGACACCTGTGGTGGAGTGGGCAGGGATACAGGCGCGGGGGTGCAATTGAGATGACAATGGTAGTGACTGCTTTTCAGCCAACTCAAAAGCGTCTTTCCTTGGACTATCTCCTTTTTGCCAGTTGATCTCCCACTTGTGCCACTGGGACACCTGTGGTGGAGTGGGCAGGGATACAGGCGCGGGGTAACAAAAGAGGTGAAATGACACAGGTGCAGATGAGGTGTGGCCGCTTGGTTCAAAGCCAGATATGGATCTACTCTAGATAGAAATGCAGTGTGGTGAGAGAGAGGCGGTACCTTGGCGCGGGCGATGACAATGGTGACGCAGGTGTAGACGAGGTGGCCGCATAGGATAAGGCCCGTTAGAAGACTACTCTACAAAGAGAAAAGGTATGGTGAGGGGCGGTACCTTGGCGCGGGCGATGACAATGGTGACGCAGGTGTAGACGATGTGGCCGGCAATGACAAAGAAGATGAAGAGATGCAGCTGATGGATGGCTGCTGGCGACATGAACGGCTCCTTTCCCTGCAAACGCACATGGAGTGATCAGATACACGTGTGAACAGCAGTTGTGTGTCATTTCGCTAAAAGAAAAAATATAAAAATAATCATTATTAAAAAAAAGGGCGAAAAAAGTGGGAGCAGTGCACGATGGCACTGATGATGCGCTTCAGCACTTACAGCCGGGCATTTGTTGCTGAATTCCGCCAAGTTCCTTCGCCGGCCCACTTCGTGAAGTAAGCTGCTCTCATTCTCCCAATCGTCGACGTCTCCCAAAATGCGCCGCTTATGCTGCTCTTGTAGTTGTTGTCGCTCCCAACTCCCAATCAACTGCCGTATCTGATTTTCTAGGTCAATCTGTGAAGCCTTTCTGGGACCAGCTGATATGGGCTCCATAAGTCCCCTCCCCCGGCTGATTTCCCCCTCGCTTTCAGATGAATTGGCAGTGGATTTTTTTTTGGGATGTTTTACTTCTTCAGCTTTAGTCATGTTTACACTTCCATCTGGAAGTGTAACGGTGGTTACATTCATCATCAGCCGAGTCTTGTTACGGAAAATCAGCGTCTGTATCGAAGTTACCACCTTCGTCTTATTCGCAAACAAGACAGTGTCTCTGCGAATCTCGAGCCGAGTTCCGTTCGCGAACCGCTCGGTTTCTGAAAACGTCGCCCGTTTCGTGCCGTTTCCGGTTTCGCCGTGAGGAGTAACCCCAGTATTATTCTTCGCTGGCCCATCGATAGTACCGGTTTCGAATTCTGCAGTTGTATCCCCCCCATGCGTATCCCCTTCCACAGAGGAAGAGTTTTCGGCAGGTAAGGGCGCAGGTGAGTAGTAGGTGATTTGGGGCGGTTGGCACGGAATTAGAATGTTGTCCCTAGCAACGGGGACGCACCACGCCGCGATCAGCGGGTTGATTAACGCGAGTATGATGGAGAGAAATCCAGCGACCATGAGCTCTGAAAAGGTGAAGGTGAAGAAAACAGCAGGGACAGCAGCAGTAAGATATAGGAGATTAGGTTTTGGGGAACTGGCGAGATCGATCTTCTGGGGTACTAACACAACGGGAAAAAAGAACTTGGTTTTAGAGCAGGGTCGTATCCAAAGCCAAGAGAGCTTACCGTCTTTAATGCGATCGACCACGTGCACGAGGGACTTGTTCTTCTTGCTACCAAACCACTGCGCACAAGAAGCGAAGCGCGGCATAAGCCATAATCGACGGCCTTTCCATCTCCACAATAAAAAAATGAATAGATAAGCGCTTGTACTGAGTCAAGTAGACTTACATGGTGTACAACGTGGATGAGCTTTTCGAAGAGCACTGAAACGAGGATGATGATGGCGGTCACCGTGGCGATGTAGTAGCTGGGCGAATACACCATGTAGTTAAACCACTCCACCTTCTTACCCTCTCCGCCGCCGCCGCCGCTTTCGCCGCCGCTGCTGCCGCCGGCATCCCCGGCGAGAATGCGCTCGAGGAGCAGGTGACGCAGGTCCGACGCGCCGAAGCCGTGCGACGCGCTGAAGCCTCCTCGTCCTTCCATCGGATTTTAGGTCGTCCAAGCGGTGTAACGGAAGGAACGTGATGGTAGATCGTGATTTGGTAATGCTTGTGTCGAGGTCCTGAGCTTTCCTGCTGGTAATGAGGGGGAAGACAACAGACGACCTCTAGCGGACTGATAAGGAAATTAGGACTCGTAATACCTCGGAGGTGTGGCCCTATTCAATGGTTAACATGCTTTCTGACAGCCTGCACTGGCAAATTATCGGTCGAAATCCTTCCTCGTCAGATACACACGGTCGGCTTTACAGACTTTCAAGGCGGCCTGTGCCTTACGAAACGCGGGGAAGCGTCGCTTCTCTCGACAATGCGGGAGGATGTGAGATTCCGGCGTGGCGTGCACATCTTCCCCCGCGGTACTAGACTGAGCATCCCTACAATAATTCTCTTGCTTGTGAGTCGAAATCTCGTGCAGGGAAAGGAATTATGCGTGTCTGCCGTCTTTGGTGCTAGCCTTGAGACAATAATTCTGTCAGCAGTGTGGTACACTGGTGACGGCTTTCCAGCCCCGGGTTCTGGTGTGGTGTCAGTGGTACATGATTTGAACAGAAAGGATTGCTAGATGGTGTGATTGTTTACAAAGCGTTTTCGTACGGTCAACCGTGGTAGTGTTATGAATGGAACTGCCGAGTAGCGCGGAGGGCGATGGCGAAACTTGAACGAGTGAATAACAATAAGGGCGTGTCCAGCGCGTTCGTTTACTATTCACTTTGATTCGTTTACTTACGATACTGTAGGTGTACCTCAACACATTCACACTTGGCGAATCAATATTTAGGCGTGTTAAAAAAACGTCAAAAAAATCGTGTTGGGGCAAAATGAACGCGCTGGGCCCTAAAATGAAAGACAACACAATATATAAGAGATCTAGGGTGATCCTGGACGTAGGATCGGAGGGTTCGGGAAAAGTGCCGAAGGGCCTCGATGTGTCGAAGTGAGGTCTGGGAAGGCCCAGGAGACTCGAACTGAAAGGTCTGGAACCCTGACGATGGTTCGGGACCGTTCGAGTCGTACAGCCTGTAGCAGGCCTCAGTAAGGAATTACTAATTCCTTACAGGTAGGACTACATGGTTACGAGATTCACGCAAGGAACGAGGGTCCACTACATGGTTTTGACAACAGACACTAGAATGATGGCTGGAGATTTTATTCAACACCCATGGAAACTTCAATGTGGGACAAAAACTGAATCAAATATAAAAACTGCACCAAAAATTTTGTGCGTTGTGTTGCCGTTGACATATTTAATGTGCCATAAATCAAGTTTTATAAATTATACATAAAGTGATTCGTTTCAAAACTCCTTAGAATAGTCGCATATACTCTGCATGGTGTTTTGTTATAGAAGTGAAGTGTACTTTATGTGTAGCAGGGCAGCTAGGTAGATGGAGTGCCTCCACAAAAGAGTACAGTTTGGCGGTTCTGTGATGATATGAGTCAATTCACCCTGAATGGGATGGAACGAACGGAGACGAAACGGTTATCCCGAGGTTTTGCGGCGTGGGAGTTGAGTTGGGACGGCATGTGGAGGACTCCTTGCCTGATCTAACGTGTTCAGATCGGTTCCGATCAACAGGGATCCGGTTATCCAACTTGAATCCGAACCCTGAGAGATCGCCAGGGGCAACGCACGGCGCACGAGGTGTGCTCACCTAAGCTACTCTCTTACGTAACAGAGATGGGCAGGGCTCATCAGCTTGCCTCGGATATCCGCATTCCACTCCACTACCAGCTGTAGCAGATATTTTCCATATGGCCCTCCTACGGAGTCATGCACAAGCAAGAAACGTAGCTCTTCCAGCCAGAGAGGCTTCACGCGTGTCTCCTGTCCATTCCTCACCCCCCCCCCTCCCCTCCCCCCCCTCTTCCCCCTCTCCCCCACCTCAACCCACCTCAACCCACCTCACTCCCCCCCCCCCCACCTTCACATTTCACGGAAGATTCCAGTTTAGGAAGTCCTCGAGTCATTTTCCCGTAGTGCCGTTTCCTCTCGCGAAACCATCTCTCCGCCAGCCGATGTAGCGCGGGCTTCACGCGACAGCGCCACTGGTCCGGCGGGGTAGAAGTCTAAGTTTTGAGGCGCCTCAAAACTCGTCTCTCGTAACCGGCGCTTGCGCGAGATTTGCGCGACAGCGTCGCTGGGGGGGGGATACTCACGCGGGGGGGTCGATTCGCGGGCGCGAACTGGCAGCGCGCGCGCGTGCATGCAGCATTGCAGCAGGGCCTCGCGAACTGCCAGGTCGCGTCGCCATTACTAGAGACGGGAGGGTCCGGGGAAGCCCGACACACAAAGGAGGGGGGGAGTCGCGGAAGCCCGCGAACGGCTCGTTCGCAGCGTGACAACCGCGTTTCAGCAGGCATCGATAGGGCCGGCGTTTCATCCTATTACGAAACCCGGAGCCTAGAAGATTCGACGCGGCTCAGAGTTGCAACTTGCAACTCGAACGCTGATCACCAGGTCTCAAAAGGGCCGTTTCATCTCCTCTCAACGGGCCGTTTCATCTCCTTTCGGGAGCCCGCGCCATCATGCGCGTTAATGTACAATACTGAATCCGCGTCGGGTGCTGCTTTTGTACACACTATATCTTTAACCTCTGCGAGCGAGTGAACGCACGGCGATAGCATTGCGACACGAATTCTGCTGCGCACGGCCGCCGCAGCTGAAGCAGCAGAAGCAGCAGAAGCAGCAGAAGCAGCAGGAGTAGCAGAAGCAGGCGCTGCCTGGGAACGTACGGTCGACGGGGGGATCCTGCTAGTGGACGGGGCGACGCGTGAAACAGCTCTCAGCAGCAGCGCAGTTGTAGGGGTCGGGGGGTGTTGGGGGGTGTCGGCGGGTGTCGGGGGGGTCGGGGGGTGTCGGGGGGTGTCGGCGGGGGGTCGGGGGGTGTCGGGGGATGAAGCAGAAGCAGGCGCGAGGGATACGTTGGACGAATATGCACAGTTTCTAGGAGACGGCGAGGTAGGAGGAGTGGTTGGGAGGAGAGGCTAGGAGGAGGCGGTAGAGAAAGAGGAGGGAGAATCAGCTCCTAGCCACCGTTGCCAGGAGAAGTTACCACCCGAACGGACGACGGCTAGGAGGTTTGCTAGTTGTTCGGCCCTACAAGTCCCCCGCTCCAAAGCGCCGGAAGGGGGGTGATACTTGATCCCTCCAGCAGCATCTGTCCGTTAGTAGTTCCCCTTCCCCCGTCCGCCCGCGCTAGAGTTTTCCTGCGCGGCCTGTTAGGCTTTAAGTCTGAGTTTGAGCTGTACAGCTGGGCCCGTTTCAGTCGGTGTTCAGCTGGGCCCGTGCTTCTCCATTACCACCCTAGTGACTGGCCTCCTAAGGCCCCGCGTTTAGAAAGTGACTTGTCTATTTATTTATTTATCAAGAACGTGATGGCGACACCTGGGTGCCGCCGCCGCAAGTTAATATCCACCATGCGTCCATCCCTGCTCCTCCTCCTGCTGCTGCTCTCCCTCGCCCTCTCCGCCCTTTCCGCTGCTGCTGCTGATGCCGCCGGAACGAATTCAGGCGGCGCCGAGAGTGCACCCAAACCCGGTGGGAGTCTGACCAATCGCAGCCCGCCACCGCCGCCGCCGCCGATTAGCATTTCATTCGACGAAAACGGCAACCCAGTGGGCCCCAACGACGTGGCTTTCCAGCGCTACGTGCCGCCGTCCCCGCCGCCCCCGTCGCCGCCCCCGCCAGTTGTCTCTTTCATGCAGGGAACGTACATCAACTGCGGCAGTAACGAGTCGCTTGCCAACCCGCTCTACACCTGGGCGGCCGATACTTTGTCGGGCAGCTTCGGGCGGAGTTTCAAGGCGCGAGTGGTGAAAACGAGCATGACTGAGAAGGTTCCTGCGGGCAGGATGGGGTATGGGAAGGTGGAGTTCACTGAGACTGGGCTCATCAAGACGCCCCCTGGGGTGGATGCACGCGTGTTTGAGACGGTGCGACACTTTGATGAGGCGGGACGCAACGTGTCGACCTACTCTGTGCCGGTGAGTGGGTTCTGGCTGGTTGGGGTATGGGAGGTGGAGTATGGCATTGATGGGGTATAGGGAGATGGAGTATAGGTAGGATGGGGTATGGGAAGGTGGAGTATCGGTAGGATGGGGTGGAGTTCACAGAGACTGGGCTGCACTGCTTGAGGCCCCTCATTGTTTTTCCTGCTCTTCCTCCGCTTTACCCTAAACCCTGACTCTGTTCCCAATTCCTGCCCTCCCCTCTCTCCCCCCTCCCTCTCCGCACCCCCCTTCTGTTACTCCCCCTCCCCCAGGTCCCTGGTCCCCCTGCCAATGTGTTCCTCCGTCTCTACTTTGCCGAGATCGTGTACACGTCAGCCAGGCTCCGCCGCTTCCACGTGGCGGTGGAGGGCACGCTCGTGCTGACCAACTACAGCGTGCCACGTGGCAGCGTGCGAGTGGAGGAGTTCATCGTGCCGGTGCTGGACGGCGCTGTGGACATCGCTTTCATCCGGGGGGAGGTCGGCGAGCCCATGATCAGCGCCATCGCAGTGAGTTGCTCTTTCCACCGCACAGCACTGCACAGTACCGCCGCCACAGCATCTTTCATGCCGGATGGCGCTGTGGACATTGCGTTCATCCGGGGGAATGTGCGCGAGCCCACGTGATAGAAGTCTAGTTTTGAGGCGCCTCAAAACTGGGCGAGCCCATGATCAGCGCCATCGTGGTGAGTTGCTGCTGGCACATACAACCTTTCCTCACCCACTGCCCTTTTCACCATACGGCCATGCCTCACCCGCTGCCCCACCCGCTGCCCCACCCGCTGCCTCACCCTCTGCCTCACGCTCTGCCCCTCTGTCTGTGTATCCCTCACTTCCCCTCTCCACCTGTCTGTCTTCACCTGCAGGTGGTGCCGCTGACAGCTGGCATGTACAGCCTCTCCTCGCCCACTGCTGCATCCCGGATCATGGGTACGTTGCCATGCTGCCATGCTGCCATGGTGTCATGGTGCCATGATGCCATGATGCTATGGTGCCATGGTGCCATGGTGCCATCACAAGTACGTCGCTTGCTGCGTGATAGAAGATTTCCCATGGTTGATTGAGACGTCTCAAAACGAGTCTTCTATCACGTGGGTACGTTACCATGTCGCCATGGCGCCATGGTTCCATCACAAGTACGTCGCTTGCTGCGTGCCCCCTGCCTCCGTCCCCTGCCTCCGTCCCCTGCCTCCGTCCCCTGTCTCCGTCCCCTGCCTCCGTCCCCTGCCTCCGTCCCGAGCTTCCGTCTCCTGCTTCCGCCCCTTGCCCCTTCTGCTCAATCCATTCTGCTCAAGCCCTCTCCTTCTTTCCCCTCCTCCCTCCCCCTCCAGCCACGGACTACCGCTTTTGGCTGTGGTCTGTTGCTGCCCATCTCCGACCTCACCCAGCGCATCTGGAACCTTCTGCCCAACTCACTCCCTTTCCTTGCTCATCCCTTGCTTTGCTCTTTCCCCCACCCCTCCCCACCACCCTCCAGCCACAAATTACCGCTTTGGCTGCGGGCTCTACCTCCCCATCTCCGATCGCACCCAGCGCATCTGGAACCCGCTGCCTACCTGGCTCCTAAGTGTCCCTTGCTCGTCCCTTGCTTCACTCTCTCCCCCACCTCCCCCACCCCTCCCCACCCCTCCCCACCCCTCTCCACCCCTCCTCACCACCCTCCAGCCCTTGATTACCGCTTTGGCTGCGGGCTCTACCTGCCCATCTCGGACCTCACCCAGCGCATCTGGAGCCTGCTGCCAGACTCCCTCTTCCTTGTTGGTTTCCACACTCACCCTCTCTTCTCTTCTCTCTCCCCACGTTCCTCCAGCCACGGACTACCGCTTTGGCTGCTGGCTCTACCTGCCCATCTCGGATCTCACCCAGCGCATCTGGAGCCTGCTGCCAGACTCCCTCTACACTCCCAGGAAGCCCCTGGCCCGCCGCTACAACGCCAAGGTGGCTCTCCTGCAGTGGCCGCAGACCATCGTCAAGAATGCGGACAATGCTCAATTGATGTACCCCTCTCTCCCCCACCTCTCCCCACCCCTCCCCACCCCTCCTCACCACCTTCCAGCCACCGATTACCGCTTTGGCTGTGGTCTCTACCTGCCCATCTCGGATCTCACCCAGCGCATCTGGAGCCTGCTGCCAGACTCCCTCTACACGCCCAGGAAGCCCCTGGCCCGCCGCTACTATTACGCCAAGGTGGCTCCCCTGCAGTGGCCGCAGACCGTTAAATATGCGGACAGCGCTCCCCTCATGTACCCTCTTGAGCTGACCACGGTAAGACTCTCTAGGTGAAATTCTTTGTTCAGGGGTCAAGGGGCCCCCTGGCCGGCCGCTACTACAACGCCAAGGTGGCGCCCCTGCAGTGGCCGCAGACCGTTAAGTATGCGGACAACGCTCCCCTCATGTACCCCCTTGAGCTGCCTGCGGTAAGACTCTCTAGGTAAAACTCCTATGTTCAGGGGTCAAGGGGCCCCCTGGCCGGCCGCTACTACAACGCCAAGGTGGCGCCCCTGCAGTGGCCGCAGACCGTTAAGTATGCGAACAACGCTCCCCTCATGTACCCCCTTGAGCTGCCTGCAGTAAGACTCTCTAGGTAAAACTCCTATGTTCAGGGGTCAAAGGACCCCCTGGCCCGCCGCTACTACAACGCCAAGGTGGCTCCCCTGCAGTGGCCGCGGACCGTTAACTATGCGGACACGGAACCCCTCATGTACCCTCTTGACTTGGCCACGGTGAGATGCTCGGGGTGAAACTCATGCTCCCCCTCGACCTCGCCACGGTAAGCTGGAGTGAGCTATAAGCACCCCTCTACCTACCAAAGGTGCAGCTACAACGCCAAGGTGGCTCCTCTGCAGTGGCCGCAGACTGTTAAGAATGCAGACAAGGCTCCCCTCATGTACCCCGTTGACTTGACCACAGTAAGATTCTCTACATTAAATCAAGGCAGAGACCTTGATTACAGTAAGATTTTTTTTTTTGGTACCACAGTATAAATCTGTGCTCAGGGGACAATGGCAGGATCTTCCTCGGCTTCTCCCAGTCTCGACTCTCCAGCCATCTCGTCCCTCCGCCTGTGTCTTGCCCGTGCACCCCATCTCTTTCCTCTTGCAGGCCGGTCTGCACGCGGTGGAATACTCCCCCTGGCGGGGTACAACGGCAACACCCAAACCCCTCCCCTTGTTTGTGCTCCTTCCTTCCCGTCCCCCTACAGTCCGGTCTGCACTCGTTGGAATACTCTCCCACCACGGGGTACAACAACCCCCCTTCCTCCACTTCTCCCGGCCTCCAGCCTTCTCGTTCCTCCTCCTGTGTCCGTCCACCCGATCTCTTTCCTCTTGCAGTCCGGTCTGCACTCGGTGGATTATATTCCCCCACCACAGGGTACAACCCCAACACCTTCTTTAGAGTCGACTCAAAAGCAGTTTTGAGTCGACTCAAAACCGGTCTGCAGTCGGTAGAATACTCTCCCGTCACAGGGTACAACCCCAACACCTTCTTTTGAGTCGACTCAAAAGCAGTTTTGAGTCGACTCAAAACCGGACTGCAGTCGGTGGAATACTCTCGCACCACAGGGTCGTCGTCACTCATGGTCTTGGGAAGAGCAGCAGCGACTAACTTTGCACTGCTGCTCTTCCCAAGACCATGAGTGACGACGACCACCACAGGGTACAACCCCAACACCTTCTTTTGAGTCGACTCAAAAGCATATTCCCCCACCACAGGGTACAACCCCAACACCTCATCAACTCCTCAACATCCCTGCCCTCTGGTGCCTCTTCCCCCTACAGTCTGGTCTGCAGCACTCAGTGGAATACTCCCCCATCACGGGGTACAAACAACCCTTCCACCTTCCTCAACTTTCGCTGATAACACCCGCAGACACCCTCATTTTAACACCCTACCACGCTCCCTTCAATCGCACCGTGCCTCTTCCCCCTAAAGTCTGGCCTGCACGCGTTGGAATACTCTCCCATCACAGGGTACAACCCCAAGACCTTCATAAACTTCTCCCGGCCTCCAGCCATCTCGTTCCTCCTCCTGTGTCCGTCCACCCGACCTCTTTCCTCTCGCAGTCCGGTCTGCACTCAGTGGGGTATCTTCCCCATCACAGGGTACAACCCCAAGACCTTCATAAACTTCTCCCTGTCTGCTCCCCAACCATAACCGTCATACACCCCCATCGCTGCCCTCCGGTGCCTCTTCCCCCCTACAGTCTGGTCTGCACGTGTTGGAATTCTCTACCATCACAGGGTACAACCCCAAGACCTTCATCAACTTCTCCCTGCCCGTTGATCCCAACACCGCGTACCGCATTGACTTTGGCTTTATGGAGCTCGCTTACTTCTACGTGAGTCCTCTCTTCGTCTCCCTTACTCGCTCTCCCTGCTATCGCCGCTCTCCCTGCTATCGCCGCTCTCCGTGCCATCACCTCATATTCACACGGCCCGTCTGTTGGACTTTAACGCGGACGGCACTCTGCTGCTCAAGGAGCTGGTTCTCCCTGCTGACTCCCTAACCCCTATCACTTCCCAAACTGCATTCTTTCCAACCCAGACGGCCCGTCTGCTGGACTTTATCGCGGACGGCACTCTGCTGCTCAAGGAGCTGGACCTCGCAACAGTGTCTTCAGCCCCCCTAAACCCAGAGCCCTGAAGCCTTCTCAAGCCTGCATCTTCTCTAACCTCCTCCCCTCAGACCGCCGCCCGGCTGCTGGACCTGTACGTGCACAGCCCTCGGCTGCTCACGGAGCTGGACCTCGCAGCTGTGTCGCTCCATCCATCCCCTCCCCTACTGCTGTTGCACCCGTCTCTCTTCTTCTCCCCCTCAGACCACCGGCCGGCTCCTGGACTTGTACGTGGACGGCACTCTGCTGCTCACGGAGCTTGACCTCGCCAACATAGCTGGCAGAGGCGTGCCATACTCCGCCTCCTTCAACGGTGAGCCGCCTGCTTTTCCGCCCGGCCGCACATTAGCGCTATCTTGCCGCCCCTCGGCGCTGAGCCTCCTATTTCTCGTTCAGTGCTGAGCCTCCTATTTCTCCCCCAGTGCTGAGCCTCCTATTTCTCCCCCAGTGCTGAGCCTCCTATTTCTCCCCCAGTGCTGAGCCTCCTATTTCTCCCCCAGTGCTGAGCCTCCTATTCTCCTGCTTCCGCTGTGATTCGTTCTGTCCCGTTCCCTCGGGCCTCTGTGGCGCGTGGGGTGGGCGACGGGCGTTGCGTCGGCGTGCCGTACTCCCTCAACAGTCATTCCCGGGTGTTTTTAAGAATTCTAAGAAATACTCCCTCAACAGTCATTCCCGGGTGTTTTTAAGAATTCTAAGACATACTCCCTCAACAGTCATTCCTGGGTGTTTTTGAGAATTCTCACAAATACTCCCTGAACAGTCATTCCAGGGTGTTTTTTAGAACTCTAAAAAATACTCCCTCAACAGTCATTCCCAGGTGTTTTTGAGAATTCTAAAAAATACTCCCTCAACAGCATTCCCGTGTGTTTTTAAGAATTCTCACAAATACTCCCTCAACAGTCATTCCCGGGTGTTTTTGAGAATTCCAAAAAATCCTCCCTCAACAGTCATTCCCGGGTGTTTTTTAGAATTCTCAAAAGTACTTTAACATTCATTTGCCACCCACCCGTGCCTTCCGGGTTCCTCAACATTTCCTCTCCCCTCTTACGCCCCTTACTCCCTCTTTCTCGTCCCCCCCCTTACTCCCTCTTTCTCGTCCCCCCCTTTACTCCCTCTTTCTCGTCCCCCCCTTTACTCCCTCTTTCTCGTCCCCCCCTTTACTCCCTCTTTCTCGTCCCCCCCTTACTCCCTCTTTCTCGTCCCCCCCCTTACTCCCTCTTTCTCGTCCCCCCCTTTACTCCCTCTTTCTCGTCCCCCCCTTTACTCCCTCTTTCTCGTCCCCCCCTTACTCCCTCTTTCTCGTCCCCCCCCTTACTCCCTCTTTCTCGTCCCCCCCTTACTCCCTCTTTCTCGTCCCCCCTTTACTCCCTCTTTCTCGTCCCCCCCCTTACTCCCTCTTTCTCGTCCCCCCTTACTCCCTCTTTCTCGTCCCCCCCTTTACTCCCTCTTTCTCGTCCCCCCCTTTACTCCCTCTTTCTCGTCCCCCCCTTTACTCCCTCTTTCTCGTCCCCCCCTTTACTCCCTCTTTCTCGTCCCCCCCCTTACTCCCTCTTTCTCGTCCCCCCTTTACTCCCTCTTTCTCGTCCCCCCCTTTACTCCCTCTTTCTCGTCCCCCCCCTTTACTCCCTCTTTCTCGTCCCCCCCTTTACTCCCTCTTTCTCGTCCCCCCCCTTACTCCCTCTTTCTCGTCCCCCCCTTACTCCCTCTTTCTCGTCCCCCCCTTTACTCCCTCTTTCTCGTCCCCCCCTTTACTCCCTCTTTCTCGTCCCCCCCTTTACTCCCTCTTTCTCGTCCCCCCCTTTACTCCCTCTTTCTCGTCCCCCCCCTTACTCCCTCTTTCTCGTCCCCCCCCTTACTCCCTCTTTCTCGTCCCCCCCTTTACTCCCTCTTTCTCGTCCCCCCCTTACTCCCTCTTTCTCGTCCCCCCCTTTACTCCCTCTTTCTCGTCCCCCCCTTTACTCCCTCTTTCTCGTCCCCCCCTTTACTCCCTCTTTCTCGTCCCCCCCCTTACTCCCTCTTTCTCGTCCCCCCCCTTACTCCCTCTTTCTCGTCCCCCCCTTACTCCCTCTTTCTCGTCCCCCCCTTTACTCCCTCTTTCTCGTCCCCCCCCTTACTCCCTCTTTCTCGTCCCCCCCTTTACTCCCTCTTTCTCGTCCCCCCCTTACTCCCTCTTTCTCGTCCCCCCTTTACTCCCTCTTTCTCGTCCCCCCCTTTACTCCCTCTTTCTCGTCCCCCCCTTTACTCCCTCTTTCTCGTCCCCCCCTTTACTCCCTCTTTCTCGTCCCCCCCCTTACTCCCTCTTTCTCGTCCCCCCCTTTACTCCCTCTTTCTCGTCCCCCCCTTTACTCCCTCTTTCTCGTCCCCCCCTTTACTCCCTCTTTCTCGTCCCCCCCTTTACTCCCTCTTTCTCGTCCCCCCCTTACTCCCTCTTTCTCGTCCCCCCCCTTACTCCCTCTTTCTCGTCCCCCCTTACTCCCTCTTCTCGTCCCCCCCTTACTCCCTCTTTCTCGTCCCCCCCTTTACTCCCTCTTTCTCGTCCCCCCCTTTACTCCCTCTTTCTCGTCCCCCCCTTTACTCCCTCTTTCTCGTCCCCCCCTTTACTCCCTCTTTCTCGTCCCCCCCCTTACTCCCTCTTTCTCGTCCCCCCCCTTTACTCCCTCTTTCTCGTCCCCCCCTTACTCCCTCTTTCTCGTCCCCCCCTTTACTCCCTCTTTCTCGTCCCCCCCTTACTCCCTCTTTCTCGTCCCCCCCTTACTCCCTCTTTCTCGTCCCCCCCTTACTCCCTCTTTCTCGTCCCCCCCTTTACTCCCTCTTTCTCGTCCCCCCCTTTACTCCCTCTTTCTCGTCCCCCCCTTTACTCCCTCTTTCTCGTCCCCCCCTTACTCCCTCTTTCTCGTCCCCCCCTTTACTCCCTCTTTCTCGTCCCCCCCTTACTCCCTCTTTCTCGTCCCCCCCTTACTCCCTCTTTCTCGTCCCCCCTTTACTCCCTCTTTCTCGTCCCCCCCTTACTCCCTCTTTCTCGTCCCCCCCTTACTCCCTCTTTCTCGTCCCCCCTTACTCCCTCTTTCTCGTCCCCCTTACTCCCTCTTTCTCGTCCCCCCCTTACTCCCTCTTTCTCGTCCCCCCCTTTACTCCCTCTTTCTCGTCCCCCCCTTACTCCCTCTTTCTCGTCCCCCCCTTACTCCCTCTTTCTCGTCCCCCCCTTACTCCCTCTTTCTCGTCCCCCCTTACTCCCTCTTTCTCGTCCCCCCCTTACTCCCTCTTTCTCGTCCCCCCCTTACTCTACTCCCTCTTTCTCGTCCCCCCCTTACTCCCTCTTTCTCGTCCCCCCTTTACTCCCTCTTTCTCGTCCCCCCCTTACTCCCTCTTTCTCGTCCCCCCCCTTACTCCCTCTTTCTCGTCCCCCCCTTACTCCCTCTTTCTCGTCCCCCCCCCTCTTCTCGTCCCCCCTTACTCCCTCTTTCTCGTCCCCCCCTTACTCCCTCTTTCTCGTCCCCCCCTTACTCCCTCTTTCTCGTCCCCCCTTACTCCCTCTTTCTCGTCCCCCCCTTACTCCCTCTTTCTCGTCCCCCCCTTTACTCCCTCTTTCTCGTCCCCCCCTTTACTCCCTCTTTCTCGTCCCCCCCTTACTCCCTCTTTCTCGTCCCCCCCTTACTCCCTCTTTCTCGTCCCCCCCTTACTCCCTCTTTCTCGTCCCCCCCTTACTCCCTCTTTCTCGTCCCCCCCCTTACTCCCTCTTTCTCGTCCCCCCCTTACTCCCTCTTTCTCGTCCCCTCTTTCTCGTCCCCCCCTTTACTCCCTCTTTCTCGTCCCCCCCTTACTCCCTCTTTCTCGTCCCCCCCTTACTCCCTCTTTCTCGTCCCCCCCTTTACTCCCTCTTTCTCGTCCCCCCCTTACTCCCTCTTTCTCGTCCCCCCCTTACTCCCTCTTTCTCGTCCCCCCCCTTTCCTACCCACACAGCCATCTCAGGTCCTTCCGGCTTCCGAGATGACTTTTGAGTCGACTCAAAAATCTTTCTCGTCCCCCCCCTTTCCTACCCACACAGTCATGTCAGGTCCTTCCGGCTTCCTCAACATTTTCCTCAACACTTCCACCAACTCTCTGCACAAGTAAGCACCAAACCCGCACACTCCTCAAACCCCAACTCTCTGCACAAGTAAGCACCAAACCCGCACACTCCTCAAACCCCAACTCTCTGCTCAATTGAGCAAAGAACCCGCACACTTCTTAAGCCCCAATCCCGACTCTCTGCACAAGTAAGCACCAGTGGAGTCATTCTTGAGAATTCTAAAAAATGGCCCGGCTACACTAGAGTCATTTGAGAATAACCTGCCTACAGTTGAGACTTCTTGAAAATGACTCCACTCCACAAATTCTCTGCACAAGTAAGCATGAAACCCGCAACCTCCTTCCTTGGTCGTCTGGTTTTTTTATAAGACTTTGTTTCTAACCTGTCTCTTCCTGCCGTTCTTCTCCTGTCTGACCTTGCCTAACCAGAACCCGTTCCCCCCCACACACCCCAAAACCCCCCTCCCCCCTCCCCCCTCCCTCCCTCTCCCCCTACCCCCCCCTCCTTCCCCCTTCTCTCAGGGACGTCACAATCAGCACCCTCGAGCTCTTCCGCTAGCTGTCCTCTGACCTCGCCAACCAGGCTGTTCTCCTGTCCTCTGACCTCGCCAACCAGGCTGTTCTCCTGTCCTCCGACCTTGCCTTACCAGAACCCACTCCCCCACACCCCCCATTTCCCCCTCTCCCCCCTCTGCCCCCTCTCAATTACGTCATAATCAGCTCCCTCGAGGTCTTCCGCCAGCTTTGTTAGCTCATGATCCGAACCCCTTACCCCTTCTTCCCCATACCATACCCCCTTTCTTCTCCCCCGTACCCCCATTTCTCCCCCGTACCCCCATTTCTCCCCCGTACCCCCATTTCTCCCCCGTACCCCCATTTCTCCCCCGTACCCCCATTTCTCCCCCCTCTCCGTGACGTCATGACCAGCTCCCTCGAGGTCTTCCACCAGCTCCCCTCCTCACAACGACGTCTTCAGCTGAACCCCTTTCTTCTCTCCCCCCCATTCTCCCCCCCCCATTCTCCCCCCCCCATTCCCTTCCCCCTCTCAGTGACGTTATGATCAGCACCCTCGAGGTCTTCCGCCAGCTGCCCACCGATCTCGCCAACCAGGCTGTTCTCCGCACCGCCGCCCTGCCCCTTCCCCCCCCTGCGCCCTTCGCTGGTGGTGACACCACTTCTGCTCCCGCCTCCTCCTCGTCCTCTGCTGCTGTAAGTCTTTACTCTCTCTCGTCCTCTCCTCTTCGCTGTTCTCTGTACTGCTGCCCAGGCAGCAGCAGCAGCAGCAGCAGCAGCAGCGGCAGCGAATGCAGCAACAGCTGACCAAACCCCTTCCACCCCACCCCACCTCACCCCCCCCTCCCTTCCCTGCAGTCCCGTGGCATCGGCATTGCAGTGGGGATGGCCGTTATTCTTCTCCTCCTCGCTGCTCTCACCACCATCCCCCCCCCCTCCCCCCTCCTCCCTCCCCTTATCCTCATATCCCAACGTCCCCCCCCCTACAACAGTCCCTTGGCATCGGCATGGCAGTGGGGATGGTGGTCATTCTGCTGCTCCTCGCGGCTTTCACCACCATCTCCTCCCCCCCCGTCTCCTCCCTCCCATCATCCTCATATCCCAACGTCCCGCCCCCCCCACAGTCCATTGGCATCGGCATCGCAGTGGGGATGGTCATCATTCTTCTCCTCCTCGCGGCTCTCACCACCTATGTCGTCATGAGAGCACGCCGCCGCCAGAGGCAGCTGCAAGCAGCAGCGGCAGAGGCGGGCTCCTCTAAGTCTCATGATGGCGCTTCTGGTGCTGCCGGCGGGGGTGCTTTCTCCGACAGTGTGCTCCTGGCGCTCATCTCAGGCAGATTCGGCTCCTGGGCGGAAGGTCAGTTGGTTAAGGAGCGCAATTTCTTCCTATTTCTCTAATGCTTCCCTAGCTGAGCTCCCTTTTCCCTCTCCCTTTTCCCTCTCCCTTTTCCCTCTCCCTTTTCCCTCTCCCTTTCCCTCTCCCTTTTCCCTCTCCCTTTCCCTCTCCCTTTTCCCTCTCCCTTTCCCTCTCCCTTTTCCCTCTCCCCTTTCCCTCTCCCTTTTCCCTCTCCCTTTCCCTCTCCCTTTTCCCTCTGCCTTTTCCACAGGCAACTGACACAAGAATCGCCCTTGCCGAAGCTACCAACGATTCTCCCCCCCCCTCCCCCTCCCCCCTCCCCCTCCTCCCCCACCCTCCCCCACCCTCCCCACTCCACCCCCCAACAAACCAGACGACAAGCGCACGGTGTTCAAGAACCTCGATGCCGAAGCAACCGCCCAAACCTGTTCCTTTGGCCCACGCATCTTCACCCTATCGGAGCTCCCTCTTTGCCCCCTTCTCTCTCCTTTCCCTCCTTTCCCTCTCCCTCTTTGTCGGCCCTCTCTTCCTCTCTCCTTTCCTCTCAGACGGCAAGCACAAGGTGTTCAAAAATCTCGATGCCGAAGCAACAGCCCGAACCGGGCTCTTTGGCGCGCGCATCTTCCCACTATCGGAGCTCCGCCGAGCCACCGACGATTTCGCCACGGGCAACCTGATCGGCCAGGGCGGGTTCGGCAAGGTCTACCGAGCCACACTCGGAGGCTCGGGAGGAGACGGCGAGGCAGGTTCGGCGCCCGCCGTGCCTGGGTTTGAGGTTGCGGTGAAGAGGCTGGGGGCGGGATCCCAGCAGGGGGCTTCGGAGTTTCTAACGGAGGTGCGGCTGCTGAGCCGGCTGCACCACAAGAACCTGGTGAACCTCATTGGGTACTGCGACGAGGACTCCAACCAGCTCATCCTAGTGTACGAATACGCGCCCAACGGCACCCTCAAGGACTACCTCCGCGGTACGTGCTCCTGTCTCTCACCCTAGTTCGTGAGGTGACTTTTGACTGGGGTTTAGCTCATCCTCGTGTACTTTTGAGGCGCCTCAAAACTGGTGTACTTTTGAGGCGCCTCAAAAGACCTAGTTCATGAGGTGACTTTTGACTGGGGTTTAGCTCATCCTCGTGTACGAATACGTGCCCAACGGCACCCTCAAGGACTACCTCCGAGGTGTGTATGTGGTAGTACTACCCTCAAGCCCGCGTTGGGTACTGTTCCGCCCAACGGCATTCTTAAGGACTACCTCAGAGGTACGTGCTAGCTGCTGTCCCTAACCCCTGACGCACTGTGCTTTGAAGGGCGTCCAACCCTAACGAGGACCAGAACCAGCTCATCCTGGTGTATGAATACGCACCCACCGACGCACTCTACGAATACCTCCGAGGTACGTGGTACCTGCTGTCCCTAAGCCTGAACCCTGATGTACTGCGCTTTGAAGGGCGTCTAGCCCTAACTAGGACCAGATCCAGCTCATCCTGGCGTATGAATACGCACCCAACGGCACGCTCTCAAGGACTACCTCCGAGGTACTGATGGACGTCTCAGTCAGCTACCAGCTGATTCTTTTGTGCTGTGCTGATGGGCTGTGCTTTTGTGCTTTGGGATGCCTCCAGCATCTCTCTGCTTTGGACTGTTTAAGGTTTGGTATTTGGGCGTTAAACCCAACGCGCCCAATGGCACGCTCAAGGACTACCTCAGGCTCTCAGAGGTATGTTCGCTGCTGCTGAAGATTCCGTGCTGTGAATCGCCCAATGGCACAGTGGAGTTATTTTTTAGGATTCTCACAAAGATTTCATGCTGTGAATCGCCCAATGGCACGCTCAACGATTTGATACTCTCTGAGAGGTACGTGGGTCGCCTGTGCATCGCTGTCACTGCTGCTGCCATCACTCCCCCTCATCCACCCCTCTCCTCTCCTCTCCTCTCCTCTCCTCTCCTCTGCCTAAACCCTATCACCACTGCCATTTATTCCTCTCCCTCACCCCCTCCGTCCTTCTCCCCATCCACCGCCCCCTCTCCCCCCCCTCTCCCACCGCTCTTCTCAACCAGATGCGGTGAGGGTGAAATCTCTATCTTGGGACCGCCGTCTGCGCATCGCCATCACTGCTGCCCGGGGCCTGGAGTACCTGCACAATGGCGCCTCTCCCTCCGTCATCCACCGGTGAGCTTTGAACCCTGAAGCCTGAAGGCCACACCCCATCGCTGGAAGGGGCCTGGAGTACCTGCACAACGGCGCCTCCCCCTCTGTCATCCACCTGTGAGTCTTGAACCTGGCCCCAGCTAGGGGACGGCTCCACGGTCCACCTTAGGAAAGGCCCCACCCACCCTATCACTGCTGCCTGGGACCTGGATTACCTCCATAATGCGGTGAGGGTGAAGTCTCTATCTTGGGACCGCCGTCTCTATCTTGCGCATCGCTATCACTGCTGCCCCGGGTTTGGATTACCTCCATAATGGTGCCTCCCCCGCTGTCATGCACCGGATCTTTTGTACCCTGTTCAGTTTTGTCCACTTCTTTTTTGTGGCCCAAAGCCCAGTGTTTCGTTTTGTCCACTTTTTTTTTGTGGCCCAAAGCCTAGTGTTTCGTTTTGTCCATTTTTTTTTCCTTTTGGCTGTCTCCATTGCCCACCTTCTAGTGTCTTCACCAACCGTAATGTCGCTTATTTCCCTATCCACCCATTCTCAATCCTCGCAGCGACATCAAGTCGTCCAACATTCTTCTGGACTATGCCTTCAACGCCAAAGTGGCACACCCATGGTTCCCCTTGTTCCTACCCATCTCAACCCATCAACCCGTCTCAACCCATCTCAACCCCTTGCAGCGACATCAAGACATCCAACATTCTTCTGGACTATTCCTTCAACGCCAAGGTGGCTGACTTCGGCCTCTCCAAGCTCGGCAAGAAGGCTGCTGGCAGCACGGGCGTGGGCATGGAGGAGAAGACCGACAAGAGCCACATCAGCACCCGCGTGAAGGGCACTCTTGGTGAGACTTTGCTCCCCAACTTTGGCTGTCTTTGTCACAGACACCTGGCAGCATGCGCGTGGGCATGGAGGAGAAGACTGACAAGAGCCACACCAGCACCGGCTTGAAGGGCACTCTCGGTGGGTGACATGCCGTTGATGCCAGGGGCACTCTCCTTGGGTGACATGCCGTTGATGCCAGGGGCACTCTCCTTGGGTGACATGCCGTTGATGCCAGGGGCACTCTCCTTGGGTGACATGCCGTTGATGCCAGGGGCACTCTCCTTGGGTGACATGCCGTTGATGCCAGGGGCACTCTCCTTGGGTGACATGCCGTTGATTCCAGGGGCACTCTCCTTGGGTGACATGCCGTTCATGCCAGGGGCACTCTCCTTGGGTGACATGCCGTTGATGTCAGGGGCACTCTCCTTGGGTGACATGCCGTTGATGCCAGGGGCACTCTCCTTGGGTGACATGCCGTTGATGCCAGGGGCACTCTCCTTGGGTGACATGCTGTTGATGCCAGGGGCACTCTCCTTGGGTGACATGCCGTTGATGCCAGGGGCACTCTCCTTGGGTGACATGCCGTTGATGCCAGGGGCACTCTCCTTGGGTGACATGCCGTTGATGCCAGGGGCACTCTCCTTGGGTGACATGCCGTTGATGCCAGGGGCACTCTCCTTGGGTGACATGCCGTTGATGCCAGGGGCACTCTCCTTGGGTGACATGCCGTTCATGCCAGGGGCACTCTCGGTGGGTGATATGCACCCTTGGATTGTGCTTATACTGTGTATGTAGAGAGGTACCTGCCAGCTGCGCGTGGGCATGGAGGAGCAGACTGACAAGAGCCACATTACCACTCCTGTGAGGGGCTCTCTCGGTGATTCGATCCTGATGTTTGAAGGGCTCTCTTAGTGCTGCTTGAAGACTCAAAAATCCCCATGAGCACTCGAGTGAAGGGCACTCTCAGTGAGCCTCTAGACACTTGCTCTGTGCTTGTACCCGCTATAGAGGTCTAGTCCAAGCAGCACCTCACCAACAAGAGCTGGAGCCTAGTCGGCTGCTCTCTTTCTTCCCAAACGCCCCTTGCACCCCTCTTATCCGTATACTCTCCCCCCTCCCGCCACCAGGCTACCTGGACCCCGTGTACTACACCAAGCAGCACCTCACGGACAAGAGCGACGTGTTCAGCTTCGGAGTGGTGCTGCTGGAGCTCATCACCGGGAGGCTGCCCATCTGGCAGGAGGACGACTCATTTGGCTCGCAGAACGGCGGGGAGAGCCTCATAAATTTGGTGGAGTGGGTGAGTCAACGGAGTCAACGAGGTCAATGGGGTCAGTGTCTGACAGGTATCGCCTGCCCATCTGGCAGGAGGATGACTCGTCGGGCCCGCAGAGTGGCAGCGAGTCTCTTATCGACCTGGTGTAGTGGGTGAGAGGCAAGGGTGTGGGCGCCTGGGCGTAGCTTACCAGTGTTGGTGGGTGTGCCCTAAGTGCTGCTCGAGTTGATCACCGGACGGAGTCAACGGGTCACTGGGGTGAGTGTCTGTCGGGTATTGCCTGCCCATCTGGCAGGAGGACGACTCGTCCGGCCTGCAGAACAGCGGAGAGAGCCTCATAATTTGGTGGAGTGGGTGAGTCAACGGAGGAGCCAAGCAGAGCCACGCTGGTCTTGTTACCAGTATCATCTAGCATGGTATTGATATCTCATCCGGTCTCATCAGCCGGATACTCCTCGGTCTCGGGCTTCCCGATGGCCTGGAGATCCCACTCTTAGCCCAACTCCGGGCCTCAGTGGGAACTGGCTTCACCGCCCGTCTCCAAGTGTTGGAACCGCTGGTTGTTCAAGGGTTCTTGTCTTTTTTTCTAACCCTGCTCCATGCCCATCTCTCCCTCTCTCCTCCCACTCCTTTCAGAGCGAGCCTTTCCTCAAGTCGGGTCAGTCAGTTCTGCCCCATAGTGGCGCCCACCCTCGAGCTGTTCTCATCAACCTCATTCCTGCTTCCCTTCTCCTTCCCCCCCTCTCTCCTCTCTCACCTCCCACTCTTTTCAGAGTGAACCATTCCTCAAGTCGGGGCAGATCCGCCCCATAGTGGCGCCCACCCTCGACTCAGACCGCCACATGCAGAGCCTCATGAAGGTGGCTGACCTCGCGTACCGCTGCGTGCGCACACAGGTGAGATATGGGCAGGCATTTGGGTATACACAAACATACACATATGTGTAGATGTACGTCGCACTATCTCTATGCAGAGCCTCGTGAAGGTGGCTGACATCGCGTACCGCTGCGTGCGCACACAGGTGAGTGATGGGCAGGCATTTGGGCATACACAAACATACACATATGTGTAGATGTACGTCGCACTATCTCTATGCAGAGCCTCGTGAAGGTGGCTGACATCGCGTACCGCTGCATGGACACACAGGTGAGAGATGGGCAGGCATACACACGCACACACGCACACACACACACACACACACGCACGCACACGCACACACACGCACGCACACACGCAGTGTCACGATATAGGTGGCAGAGGTGGCTAGCACCCTCGCAGAGGCCAAGTCTCTTCTTGACGCCGAGGGTCCCTCTCCTGGCTCTTCTGCTCTCCTCTTCCTTTCCCTTCACCCCTCACCCTGTTCTCTCCTCTTCCTGTCCCTTCCCCCTTCACCCTGTTCTCTCCTCTTCGTTTCCCTTCCCCCCTCACCCTGTTCTCTCCTCTTCCTGTCCCTTCCCCCTTCACCCTGTTCTCTCCTCTTCGTTTCCCTTCCCCCCTCACCCTGTTCGCTCCTCTTCCTTTCCCTCCCCTCCTCACCCTGTTCTCCGTGTGTTATGAGCCTATTTTTTAGCCGACTGAAAAATGGACTCATAACACACTGTTCACCCACTTTCTCCGCCATACCCTCGTATCCCTCCAGCCCAAGAGTCTATTTTTCAGGCGCCTCAAAGCTAGACTCCTCTTGTTGTTCTCCCGCTTTCTCACCCCTGTTCCCCCTCTTCCCTATGTCCTTCCCTGTATATCTCCAGCCCAAGAGCCGTCTCAGCATGGCAGAGGTGGCCCACATCCTCGCCGAGTCCAAGTCCCTTTTCAGCGCTGAGGACCCCTTTCCTGGCTCCACTGCTCTTCCCGGTCCTCCTTAATGCCCTCTTGTGCTTCCCCTCCCTCCCCCTCCCCCCCCTTTTTGTTCCCTCCAGCCCAAGAGCCGTCCCAGCATGGCAGAGGTGGCCCGCATTCTCGCCGAGGCCAAGTCCCTGCTTGACGCCGAGGGTCCTGCTCCCGGCGCTGCTGCTCTCCCGCTCCCCACCCATGCTGCAGCCGCCTCTTCTGATTCCAATACTGTCTCGGATTCCATCACTCCCTCTGCTGATGTTTCTTCTGCTGCGACTGCTGGTAGTGGGTTTGAGCACTCCACCCTGAAAGTGGGGGATGGGGAATCGGCTTTGCTTATGGATGAAGCTGGAGCTGGTTTCCTGCCCAGAGTGGATGAGGCTTCTGTCTCTGCTGCTGGTGCGGCAGATGAGGTGTCTGAGTCTAAGGGGGATTGTGATAGGCCCCTCTCCATCAGTGACATTTCGGAGTGATTCGCACCGGGCTTGAACTTTGAAGCCAATTCTGTAGTTATTTGGCATCCGGGTGGCAAGTGGTGCGGCGTGCCTTTTTTTCAAGGGATATGTTCATATAAGCTGCAGTGGCGAAGGATAAGGTTGGGTGGAGCAAGGATCTGGGAGGGAGACAGAGGAAGAGCATATCAAACCTAGAATTTAATAATGTGAGAGAGAGAGTACACAAACATATACCTAAATGTTGTACTCTCTAGAAGGTGACCCTATACAGTCTATACGAACATGATAACTACACATGTTTGACACACCCCCTGGACTGCATAGGGGAATGTTCTAGACAAGTAGCTCAGGGTGGCACTACTAGTCCAGCCTCTGAGACAAGGGTCTAAAAGACCAGTCAGAAGGAGTACAGACAAGGCAAGAACGAGTACAGGGCGGCACTACTAGTCCAACCACTGTGAGAGGACACAAGTCCAGTCTGAGTGTATACATGTATATATATACGACAGTACAAAGTCAAGGCCCGAGTAAGTGAGAGACTACAGGAACCAGACCAAGCTGTAAACAGTGCCGCTGATGATCTTTAGGCGCAAGCGCCTTCGTAAAGATATATGAGAAATTTTTTTTGTAGTAAAAAATTTACAGATTGTGATTCGACTAGAAGAGGAGTTTGCTGTAAAGGAGACAAACTCCTTCATCTATCGGCAGGTCTTTCAGACCTGCCACCTAGTCTCATTTGCATTTTTCTGTTCCAACTTGTATACCACCAGCACACTCTAAACCTCTATGCCCAGATCTGGGCATAGAAGTCTCTTGCTGCAAGACGTTATTTCTGTTAGATACTCTACAATGGTTAGCGGACTCATTTCCGCTGCAAGTGGTAGGCCTCCTGCTCCTCGTGTGAATACTAGGAGTGGTGGAAGGCGTGGGTCCCCTGTACGTGAGGGGGACCGAAACTCTTCATCTCAGCATAGAGAACGATCTCGTTCTCCTCGTCCTGGCGGAGGTAACGGCGCAGTTACCGCTTTGGATTTGCTGAGTGGCGCGCGTCAAGACCCTGTTCAGCACGTCGAAAACACGGCAGGGGACGCGGATCGTAACACGTCACGCAATCGCGATTTCCCCCCCGGATTTCAAGGCGAGCGGCGTAACGAGCAGAACCGCGTCGACACGAACCCGACTGCCGAAAACGCCCCCTCCCGGCCCCCACCTACCGAACGCAATCATGACGGTCCTGCGCGCGAGGACCACAATCATGATCGTGATACTGCGCGCGCAGGGCGTCATCATGAGCGCGATCTCAACGCCCCAGCGCCCCAGATTCGCCAGGATCGCCAGGATCGGGACCGGGATCGCGCAGATCGCCGCACAGATTTTGCTCCTGCCGCAGTGAATCCGCGCGGGATTCCGCAGATCTCGACCCCTGGAGCAGCAGAAATCGCCGAAATGATTGCGCGCCTGGATCCTGCAGCCCAGCGCAATCTCCAGCGAATCTTCACAGGAGCTGCTGGCGAACGCGTTACAGCACGCTCCACTGCATCTACAGCGCCTCATTCTGCAGAACATAATTCTGCTCGCTACACCGACAACAATGTTAACGCCGGCACCAACAACGAGGCCATTCACCACGTTCTTGGTCTTCTCGCGGCGCTCCAGCGTGGCAATGGCGCCGATCCTGCACCGCCACCGGAACCAGCACGCGTCGCAGCGACGGTGGCCCCACGCTCTCGCCTCCCGGCGCCCGCCCCCGAGCCCGTTGACGACGAAATGGACGAGGAAGCACCCCATGCCACGCTCGACGAAGGTAATGCCGCCCGCCCGAAATCCGCTTCTGCATCGCTCACCCTCGCTCCTATTCCACCTGCACGTCCTCAGTTGCGCTCTTCCTTAGTTAAAAGCGATGGAATTCGTACGCAACTTTTTAGTTTTGAGCGCATTCAAGCTATTGCACGTCATGCTATCTCGGTTTTACCACTTGACGGTGGAGAACAAGCCGCCGACTATCTCCAGCAGATAGTAGAGGAGGCGGAAGAGAAGATTCATTTTTTGTTTACCGCCGATCAACGCGGTTTCGAAGTGGCCAATATGGCCCTTAAGATTAAGTATGGGGAAGTGGTAGAGGATAAGAATGTGAAGGCCGCTTCTCAGATTGTAGCGGCCAGCAAGAAGAGGCCGACTCGGCCCACCCATCCCACCTCCCGTCCTGAACCCCCTCTTCGCCCTCGCGGCCAAGGGGAGCGCCTTTGGAACACATGGCGTAGGGACGGCGACGGCCGTTGTTTCTATTGCCGTGAACCCGGGCATGGGATGGCTAATTGCCCCCAAAGGGGCCAAGGGGCCAATCGGCCAGCTAAGATTGTGTAAAGTTTGCTTAACCTCTCCGATGTTGTAGCGTTCTTAATTTTAAAAAAAAAAAAAAAAAAAAAAAAAAACACACACACGCACATTTGTGCATTCAAGCAAGATTAATACGCGCGTCATACGGCCACATGGTCTTGCACGTTGGGCCCGTGCAAGAAGACGTGAGCGTGCCCACAAGACGCATACACAATGTGTGTGCGTCCTTTAAAGACTGACGTTGATAAGATTCATCACAAGATTTCTATGTCCATCGCAAAAAAAAAAAAAAAAAAAAAAAAAAAAAAAAAAAAAACCGTATGCTCGCAAAACGATTGCGTAGCATTTGCGCAAATGCTTTGCAAACGTTTTGCGAACATGTGGGTGAACACTCCTGGCGGACTAAGATTAGAACACTTGGCAAATGCTTTGGCAACATTTCCCGAAACACTTTTTGGTTCACGACAAGGAATATATGACGACCAACTACAGCCCAAAATGCCAAGTTCACATTCCCAACCCATAGTTTATCACTTAAGGGATGACGTGGCCGAATAATAGCGAGCAAGCGGGCACCTATATCTAGCGTTTGCCTTCCTTCCAAAAAAAAAAAAAAAAAAAAAAAAAAATTCGTTGCGTTCGGAACTACATGAGGTACCTTCCTGATTCTCTACCGTCCCTATTTGTGTTCCCTCTCCTACCAGAGCTCGGAACCATTTCGGCCTATGCCGATGACGCAACCAAGATTACCCGCATGCAAGGCCGCCTCCGTGACCGCGCTGCATGGTGGTCCGCCTGGTGCGACAGCCGCTTGATTCTATCGGTGATTACATCTGGATATCGCCTACCATGGGTTGCCTCTGAGCCCCCTCCGTCTCGTACTAAGAACCATGCCGGTGCTTTGCAATTCACCTCTTTCGCCGTAGGCGCAGTGGCCGAGCTTCTCGCCACCGGCGCAGCTCGGGTCGTTCCTCCTTCCACAACCCTCACATGCGTTAGCCCCTTAAACGTGATTGTCCAACCCTCAAAAAAGAGACTGATACTGGATTTGCGGCATGTCAACTCATTCCTCTCAGTACCTCGTTTTCGATACGAAGGACTTACTCGCGTTCCTGATTTGGTGCAAGAAGGCGATTGGCTATTCACGATCGATCTCAAATCTGGATACCACCACGTCGACATTCACCCCGCTTTCTGGCAGTTTCTCGGATTCTCCTTGCAAGGGCAGGACTACCAATTCCTCTCTTTGCCTTTCGGGCTGGCTACAGCGCCGTTTGTGTTTACCCAGTTAATTAAGCAACTCGCCAAACGCTGGCGTAGCCGTGGCATCCGCCTTATTCCATACGTCGATGATATCCTATTCATCAGTGCCACTCGAGCGGAGGCTCTTCACAACCGCTCCATAATCATTGCCGACCTCGCAGCCGCGGGCTTTGTTGTGAATTTCAAAAAATCACAACTCGCACCGGCACAATCTTTGAAGTTCTTGGGCCTCTTGCTGGACACGCGCACCACCACTTTCTCGGTCGATGCGGATCGGCGCAACCGGCTTTTTGCCGAGCTGGATGAATTAGGCACACTCGGCACTAACGGGCGTCGCATCCCTGTTCGCCGCGCTGCCCGCATCACCGGCATGTTGGCCTCCATGTCCTTGGCGCTTGGCACTGTCGCGCGCGCTTTCTCCCACCACCTTCTTACGCAGATCGCCGAATGCCACTCATGGGGGGCGGCCATTCTCCTCACCCCTGAGTCTGTTGAAGAACTGCGATTTTGGCTTACACAGTTCGACGTTTTCAACGGCGCCCGCTTCCACAACCCGCATTTGTACGACGTGGTCATGTACGTGGATGCTAGCGACCATGCTTGGGGGGCTTGTTATTCAGCGCCGGATGGTCGTGTCGGCTCGCTCTCCTCCCCGCTGCCTCTAGCCCTCTTGGGCTCGTCCAGTACCCTTCGCGAGCTGGCCGGAATCTTTTGGTCCCTTTCGGCCTTTTCTGTCGAAATCCGACGTTCGCACATCTTGCTCCGCAGCGACAGTCAGGCGGCCTACTACATCCTCCAGAAGGGAGGCTCTCGCCGTCCCGAGCTTACCTTCGTATGCCGCGCGATTATTCAATTGTGCGTGCGCCATATGATCCGTCTTACGGTCCAATGGATTCCCCGTGCGCTGAATACCGAGGCTGACGCTCTGTCCAAGATTGAGCTCCACGACGACTACTCCTTGACACGACCTTGGTTCCGGCTGCTTGAGAGGCATTGGGGGCCTCATACTATCGACTTGTTCGCATCCCCTGCCAATGCGCAGCTCGCTCGTTTCTGCTCCCTCGAGTTCTCACACTCTGCGGTTGCGCAAGACGCTTTTTCTATCAATTGGGGCCACGAGAATTGCTTCGCCTTTCCTCCACCCACCCTCATCCCGGCTGTCCTAGCTCATGCCCGTCGCTCGCGCACTTCTCTCACTCTCGTGATCCCATATTGGCCCAGTGCCTTTTGGTGGCCTTTGCTAAGCTTGGACGGCTCCACTTGGGGCCCGGAGGTCGTTATGGCCCTTCGCCTTACCCTTGGTGCTAGTTGTTTACGCGTTGGCAGTGACCGTCATGCCTTTAGCGGTGCTGGTCTTCCGAACTCTCCGATGTATGCGCTTCGTTTTGCATTCAACTAATGTATCAATTTATTTCACTGCGCAGGCTCATATATTGGTCGATTATTGTCGGACCTTCTCACACTCACCGTTGATCTTCGGGCGAAGTCTACCCTTCGCACTTACGAACCCTACTGGCGACAGTTTCGAGCCTTCTGTTTGGCGCACTCACTTCCCTTCCTTACCGCCACCGACCTGACAGCGTCCCTCTTTCTGCTGCACTCGGTCCGTCGCGGCGCTACTGTCTCAGCTGTGCGCACTGCGTGTTCCGCCATATCCTGCGCCCATTGGCTGGTTGGCCACCCCTCCCC